GATAGATAGATAGATAGATAGATGATAGATAATGTAGAAAGATAGGGTGAATAGATGTACACATATGTATATATACATGTGTATGTATGTGTGTGTGCACATATATAAAGTTTTAATGGGAACCATTGTCATCAACATCAGCCAATTATTTTACTGAGCACCTATCACAGTCTCTGCCTTCAAGGAATTTACTAATAATAAGGGAAAAGGAAAAGCGAGTAAGAATACTCATGTAAAGAGAAGAGGGGGTGCTTGAGAAGATGGCTCAGCAGTCAGTGGTTCTCGATGCTCCTCCGCAGGAGTCTCCCAGCAGCCATGTCAGGTGGCCCACAGTCACCTGTAACTCCAGCCCCGGGGATCCAGCACCTCTGGCCTCCCTGGGCACCTGCATTCACATGCACATATTCACAGACACAGGCACATCATCCCAAACATAAAATCTTTTTAAAGAGACGAGTGGCCTTAAATAGCAAAATGTGGTGGTCTCCTTGCTGGGTGATTTACAGACCTCAGAGGACCCCAAGGCTCTCCTGGGTGTCTAAACAAGGAGAATCTATGTCCATTGAGATACTCATGTGTTATTTGTGTTTTTTATTCTCATTTTCCCCAAATACACAGTAGAGTTTCTAGAGGTAAATGGTCTGTGCTATTGCAACAGACTGAATGCAGAAGCAGATGAACTCTGCCTCCTTCTACTGAACTAGACACTAAAGAAACTGGGAAAAAATTTCTTTGCCCTAAATATTTTGCTTTGGAATATATTTTTCCACTAAAAAATGTGGTAATGCCAGCATGTAATAAATTTATGGTTATTTTAAATTAAATCAATAAAAATTCATTTCTTACTTTTAATTTCTTTTAAGATTTATCTATTTTTCATTTACATGCATTTGTGTGTGTGTGCGCGCACACGTGTGCCTGAGAGTACGTATGTACACCACACACATACAGGCACCCACAGAGGCCTGAGGCGGTCACCGGGTCCTTCAGAACTGGAGCTGCCTGTGGGTGCAAGCTGCCTGCTGTGGGTGCCGTCAGCCACCCATGGTCCTCTGCAGAGCAGCAAGGGCTCTTAGCTGCTGAGCCGCCTCTCAGCCCCCTTCACTTTCATTTCTAATTACACTGATATGTAATTGATATATTGATACATACAGATAAATAAAATCTACTCTGCTAACAGAGTTTTTAGAGAGCTATCGATACAATTGAAGCACGTATAGAGTCCTAAATTTGAGACATACTCAGCTAGACTGAGCGACTTTGCCCTGAAAGCTCTTAGCCTTGCCTCATTCATTCATATTTGACCTGTTTGGTCATAACTAAAGGTCACTTCTTCCATGAGGCTTTGCTGATTCCCTTTTATAAGCCACATAGAAAGAAACTATTCAGGTACATGGTATGTGCCAAGTACTGCCCTAGGGGCTTACAAATATATGAATAATATATATTCTAAATATATATGATACCACCTCTTAGTCACGGATATATTAATTTTCTCATTTCTCATAGAATATTCCTACTTTGTAATACTGCTCATACATATAAGCTATTAACTCTATTAATATATAAGTTCATTGAAAAGTCTGAGCTTGTTTGAATAGAAGTAGACTTGACCTTAATTTAAATATAGGAATAACATGATCAAAGGCACAAAATTATGGATCTTCAAGTTACACCCAAAAAGCAATAGGATGATTAATGCTAAAGTGGGCATTAATGAGATTTATAAGAAGAGAAACAAAGGAGAAAATAGATGAAAGGAGACTGGATATTCTGGGAATTTTCTAGGTAGATTTAATTTGAAGAAACTAACATATCAGTGCTGGAGAAATGGTTCAACATTAAAAGTACTGGCTGCTTGAGCCCCAGTGTCCACATGGTGCCTTACAAACATCTGCAACTCCAGTTTCAGGATGTCCGATGGTCTTTTCTGGCCTCCTTAGATACCAGGCAGGGACAGGGTGCACGTGCGCACACACACACACACACGATCCATACAGGTAAAATAATAAATAAAATACTTTTTAAAAAAGAAAGGAATGAACATCTCTGCAGCTCACTTCCATCACTCGGGACAGAAGGTGAAGCCACAACCCCTACGCAGCTCAAGCCCAACCTAGCCTGAGCTAAAAGAAGCCCTTTTACTGAAAGTGCCACAGCTTCACGTGCTGAAATACGCATGGCTTTTGAAAGAATCAATTTTACTTCATAAAACTGAATTTTCAAAAGTTACTGGATACCACAGCATCTAATTGCTTTATAAAATTATGACTTTATAAAAATAAGTATTTGAAATAGATACTTTAATGATCTCAAAGGAATTTTTATATTGAGTACCTCCTTTATGAACAAGAATAATATTTTCCTAAGAAATATGCCATAGTTTCCAAAAACACAAAGTTCTACAGAAGTCTCCCCATATTTACAAAGTCCAAAATATTTAAAACTGTACAACCAGTTCTATAGGAGAGTTAAGAATGTGCTTGTAAGTGTTCCAAGGCCCACCAAACACACACTATGAAAGTCCCAGAAGGTAAAGAAAGCCAGCACTTGACCCTCAAAGTAGACTCAGGGAAGAAGAGGCAAACCAGAGCCCCAGAAAGGGGTGAAGCCCGGGCATGTCGTTCCTGCCCTTGGGCTGCACTGAGCCAGGCACCTGCTTTGCATGTTTTCCTTTGATAGCGAATCATAGCAGCCGCAGGAAGAGATGTGGGGTGGTTCAGAGGACACACACAGGCTCAGGGAGTCTGTGAACATTTTCTATCTGCAGCTAAATAACAACATCGCGAAATTATGGGGTTTCTAAAGCACATTTTAGATAATGAGAATAGCCAGGACATGCTTCACAATTAGGGAAAACATCTTCTGCATGGTGTCATCCATTATAGATGTTTTCTATAACCGGTCATCAAAACACTGTGTGTAGAGATCATGGATTCATAAAGGAAACAAAGATCATTTGTATTGTGACTCTTACCCCTTAGACATAAGAAAAAAATCTTAGCATGAGTTTCACAGTATGTTTTAATTTTTCTTAAGAGCTGTATGTATTCTGTAAGACATTTGCCATTTTTCTAAGCAAGCACTTTAAAAGTTCTTAGGTTGAAAAAGAATAACCTTTGCCTCTCTGTACTGACACCCAGTGTTTAGGTGTGTGACATCCACACAGATATACACACACCACAGTACTAACACTCAGTGTTTGGGTTTGTAAATATCCACTCAAAAACACACACACGACACAGGCAAAGATGTAAAGTAGATTCGTGTCAGGAATCAGTTTTGATTCTATTTCCCTAATTATAAGACATGAACAAAATTACTTCATTTTCCTAAGTCCCCATTTCCTTTTGTTACAAATTAGTTATAATAACAACATCTCCAGCTGCCTCAGAGTTACAGTGATAACTCAAGAAGATTTATAGGAAAATATTTTGTACAAAGATACAATTTTGTACAAAGATACAATTTTCATGAAATATGTTAATGCATGCCTTATGCTACAAGGGCTGTTTCAGTAAGTATCTCTGTTAGGCAAAAGTTGAGTTATGAAACTAAAAGTACAACTTTCCATATGATGTGGCATTTCCTGCCCTGTTTTACAAGGCCATGTCCCAGATGGGTGCCTATTTATTACCATATGACCAACCCAAGCGCTGATTGCTGTTATTAGGGCATGAAAATATTAGCCAAGCCAAGATCCTTGTTGTGAAATGTAAGGACCATGCAAATCTGAGATACCAGAAGTTGTTATGCTTCAGTCATAGTTCGAACAGCTGCAGGGTCTAAGGATCATTTCCACAAATGAGTAGAGTTGGAAGCAGAAGACCAAATATTACCTTACTGACAAATATTTCTGCTGGTATTGGGCGATCACGGTAAGATCACCCGAGGGCTGACCCAAGGTGAGTGAGAAGAAGAGCAGGTCCTCCACCCTGGGGCACCACCCTTCCATCCTGCTGAGCTCAGGACCAGGAGCCTCCCACTGCCCTAGCTTGGAAACTCCGTGCTACTCTGAGCCTCAGGTGGGAAGTCCTCCTGCTGCTGGTCCCTGCTTCAGGCTCTGCTTCCCTCCCAAGGAGCCTCTCACAGCAAAGTCGCCGCTTCTAGATTCCAGTGTCTTTCGCCTAGCACAGGTGACACTGGACTTGGTTTATCAACTCCACTGAAGAGTTGTGCTGAAGTGATCAAGGAGAGGCCGCCAAGGTAAACCATAAAATAGGCCAGGCAGGGTCTGTCACTGTGGAAGTATCTCAACCACCACCTGAGACTCTGAGCTCTGCCTGCTTGTTAACTTAGAGAAACACACATCCAAACATGGCCAGAAGTTTTCAGAAAAGAGAAAACTTGGTAGCGGGATTTTTATTTGGAATCTTAACTTTATAAATTTTAACAAGTAAATCAAAGTCATCCTCTGAGTTTAAAAAAATGTGTTTGTTTTCAGTTCTGAGATGACAAAATAACATACACCAACAGGCCGCATCTGAGGAAGGGCAACACCTCTCTGCCTGATAGCCGAGAGCTAGCCAGCATGCTTTAGGACTAGTCTGCTGCTCAGGTCCTTTTCTTTTCAGTACAACAGAAGGTTCTGTCTATGCAAGCATGTCAGACTACACTGTAAGGAGGAAAGGCGCCTGGGGATGGGTCCTTGTGGCTCTCTTTGCTGCCCCACTGAGCAATCTTCCTGAGACTGCTAAAACACCCCTCTGAGCAGAAGAAGACACAGTGTAGCTCATGCCTAGGGGATGCTCTGTAGCCCCTCCCCCAGGCATTCTGACAGTTGAGTCTCTGGGCGAAGGGAGAAGAGTGCTCGCTCACCACAGGGCAGGAAGTCAGCACACAGCACTGTGCCCAGAGGAGGAGAGCATTGGCCTTCTGGCAGGCAGCCAGCAAAGGCAGAGTATGGGATGAGTTTATGATTTCCAGTTATTTCAGAAGGTTCTCTCTAAATCAGAGTATTATCACATTTACCCTTGAAAGGTTTTTGAGATCATCTTGTTCTGCCTTCCCATTTTTTTCAGATGAAAAAAAAAAAAAATCAGTGCACAGAGGGTCTTTTAAACCAACACTATCAATACCACTTGTACTGCCGACTGGACAAATGCCTGGGAGAAAATATGTGCTCCTGATACTCCTCCTCCTGCATGTGAGTATAGACTGCACGTGTCAGGCAATTCTTAGAAATGGTGAGGGTCAAGAGATATTATCAATGCTCAAGACATTTCTCCGTCACATATTATACTACCAGCACCCAACGACTCTCCATTTCAACCAGGAACTGGTTGCATACGTCCCTGTTACTCAAAACATCTCTCCTGTTTGTAACTTCAAAACAGTCCCCAAACACAACTCAGATGAATTCATTCTAATAACTTTCTAGAAACCACTTTGAAACCAGGGAGCCTGTAAATTGCAAATGGGAACTCTACAGTCTAGTCCGCAACAGGCTTTCCTTAAAGAGAGCCAGTTTGTCCCCTGCCATGGAGTAAACAGGGTCTGGAGCTCAGAGGACAGTCCGTGAAATCTGTCTGGCAGCTCGGGCACAGCTAAGGAAGAAGTCACTCTTCTTACGTAATAGGAAATGATCTTGCAACACGGCAAGAGTGGTTCTCAGTGAAAGCGCCTGTGCCGCCGCCGTTCAGTCCTCCACAGAAACTGGCGGAACCCTCATGCCCTGTGGTATTGGTGTCATATTTCACTGGGAGGGCTTTAGAGATACTTCACTGCTACTCCAGGAAAACAAAAGGGTTATTGGTTGGGTTCCCCAACCCAACTGTGGAGGACTTAGGGCATGCACCCTTTCCAGATCTGTTCTAAGGTGAGTCATTTGGAGACATGATATCTAGGTGGGGCCATCCAGCCCTCTGCTCTCCCCCAGACGTTGTGGCCCCTAACATGTCACAAGTGAAGGAAAGACTCGGATCTGGAATAAATTAATCTGATGATTTGGGTATTTTTATTGTTACTATTGTTTTGGTGGAGTTGGTAGCCTCTACCATTTCAAAAATGCAGGTTTCACCATAAATAGTATCACTCTTAAATAATTTGCTTATTCTGGAGATGTTATAGGCCCGTATTCTGCACAGTGAAGCATCTTGAGATTGTCTCCAACAGAAACTGTGTTAGCTCACTCAAGCCCACGCTGGAGTCAGTCAGTAAATGTTGTTTCACGGTAGTAAACAGGGGTACTTACAGGGCACCCGGTGTCTAATGCACTCCTGGGCTTTAACTTCTCACACAGGGAGTCAAGCATGTCCCATTATCACCTACTCAGAAGAAAAGTAACAACAAACTTCAGAGCAAAGCTTTCCAGACATGTTTTGAGTAACAAGGACATATGCAACCAGTTCCTGGTTGAAATGGAGACAGTCGTTGGGTGCTGGTAGTGGAGTGTGTGACAGAGAAATGTCTTTGGGGAGGGCAGTGAAACATATCCTAAAATAATTCACATTTATAAAACAAAAATTTAATTTTTTCATTTACCCCAAGAATAATAATAGGACTGATATTAACTACCACAAAATACTTACTTAACATTAAGAAGCATTTTCCCGTGTTATCCTCAAAATCACCCTTGGTTTTAGATGAAGTGCCTGTGGAGAGGTCGTCATAACCAACCTCCTAGCGGTTTCTAAAACCCTCATGCCAGAGCCTGAATCCACTCAGCCCACCTTGCTTCAGACACATGTTCCTTCTCCCCAGCTCTGGTGAGAGGGATCCAGGGTATCTCCAGTCAGTACTCTTCTGTAGTTGGAGACAAAATGTCTCTATCGCCCCTTTTCTCATTTAAGCAGCTAGTGAAATCATAACTTCACAATGACAGATTCCTCCTTCAGCTCTTTCTCCTCAAACCAAGTGCAGTGGCTGCATTTTGTCACAATATATGTTTGGGGAGGGAGGGAGGGAGGGAGAGAGAGAGGGAGAGAGAGAGGGAGGAGAGAAAGGGTAGCCAGCGGGTAGGAATCATGCGTTTTACCTCCACTCACTCCATGACTCAGCTACCCACCCAGTCAGCCACCCATCTGTCAGTGGGGACGAATGTATGCTGTGTACCAAACAGAAACGGCCACCAGGGATCCTATCATGGTGAAAATGACAGGAAAAGAGAACAAACATGGATCAAGAGAGAAGGCAGTGTGGTGTGCACTCTCACAGCGGTGCGCTTACAAGCAGAGCATCAGGGAAAGTTCTGTGGAGCAAAAGGGCCTGTAGACCCCTGAATTCCCCAGGTCCTGATTAGGGCATGAGAGAGAGTGCCTGACAGGAGTTCAGGCTGACACGGAGGAGATTTGATTCCTCCTGCCTTACGTGCTGTACGTGCCCTACGTGAGAACCTCAGAAGGTGACACTGGCCACTCTGTGGGCATGTGTGACTCCATGAGTCATTGCTAGAATATCAAAGGGATTCTTAGTCAGGAAATAGTCTCTGCCTTGGTGTTTATGAACAACAACTTAGGCAAATGCAGTCTCAAGGGCAAACAAAAAAGTGCAGAGCCACGAGGCCCCTTGACTAGCCCACGCCCCATTTACTGTAAATGCCCTTGGCTGCCCCGGGCGTTCATCATAGCAATGGAGCATGCAACTTCTCCATAAAGCCCTGTTCTGAAATTTACTCAGCATTTCCTTCAAGGATCCACTAGGATTCACCCAAAACACAGTGTGCACACTATAAAATACCTTAGAAACGATCATTATAGAGTAAATTTGCCATTTCCAGGCAAAACTATCTCAAAAAAAAAAATCTAAATACATGTCATTTTGTATCACTTCCATTGGGCAGACTCTAACCCACAGAGCTTGAGAGTTACAATGTATTCTTCACTGGAGAAAAGGCTGTTTTTATTGATCAGATGGAAATGTTTGTGAAGCCGAGGTTTCTCTCGTGATGGACACACCTGTAACCTGGAGTAAGCTACATTGTTTTTGGTTTGTTTCCTCACCAGCAGAGGACACTTAAGCAGAGGGAGGAAGGATCTCTGAGCTTTCTTTATACCTCGGAGAGTAATTGAACCTCAACTCTGTGTGTCCCCAAGGCAGAAAACAACAGTAAGAGGCTTGCAGTCGACTCTTGAGGAGAATTCAAGTCCTTGAATATTTGAATCGTTAATAAAGTGGCACCAGCTAGCTCCCCAGAAAAGTATTCATAGCCTCTTTCCCTGTAACTGAGATCAATAAAAACACCAGAAGATTTGGAGACATCCTCAGTGGGTTGTTTCTGTAATGTTTACTTAGCTGGAGTATTATCAAGTCATTTAATGTTTTCTTCTGTTTGTTTATTGGGGGCACTAGTACCACAGGACATGTGTAAGTCAGAGGACAACTTACAGGATTTAGTTCTGTCCTTCCACAGGTGGGCTCACACTCAAGTCATCAGGCCTGGTGGCAAGGTCCCTCACCTCTCAGCCATCTCATGAGCCATTAAATCATTTCTGCCCTAAAAGCATCATCAAATAATTTTAGAGCCAAATCCTCAAGGTGTTGGGTAAAGGAAAAAAAAAAAAAACAGAGAGAGGAAAGGAGGATGAAGGGAAGGAGGGGGTGGAGAGGGGGAGGGACAGAGGGGTTGGGGGAGAATAAATTTGAAACAAAGTAGAAGATTTTAAGCTTGTTTCTTATGCGGCCTGTCATGCTGGCCAGTCCTCGGCTCACAGGGACAGGGAAGGTAGGTATGCCATCAGTGTCCAGCTGGCAGGCTTGCCTCAGGGAGGAAGGAGGCGGAAAGGTACTTAGTAAAACTTAATGTGCACTACAAATGAATGGAACACCTCTCCCCCTTTTCTTCTTTTAATGTGAACTTTTGTTCTTGTGAACCGAGTAAACTAAACCTACAAACACACCAATGGCCTAAACATACCATAAACTTAAGTCCGAAAGCTTCCTTTAGAAGAGGAAGCATATTTTTCACTATCTTTATTGAGAAGACAAAGAGAATCCGATGCTAACAATCTAAAGGCAACTAACTCATCAGAGGGTTTTCCACCCTGTAAAGGTCATTAAGTCTTGTGACAGACAGCATGGTAACCAGGCAACGGGAGCACCTCCCACTTTGAAGCAAGGCGGGTGACAGTGGCATAAGTCACCCTTTCCTTAGTATCGGGTGCAACTGCCACCAGAACAACGCCCATGCCCAGGTGATAGCTGTGCCAACGTGGGCCAACATGTCACCTCCTCAGGATGAACAATCCTTCCCAAGACAGACCAGAGACGGCATGTTGAAACTTCCAGCTGAGGGTCGTAACTGACCGAGAGCAGCAGATGACCTGAGCTCCAACAGCTCTTGGCTCTTCTGCTCAGAAAGGAGCTTATGTGTCCAAAAGGGAATGCCTCACTTACCTGTGTTGAGACAATCAGGACAAGTAGTCTGGAGAGTCGTCAGACAAAAACAGTCATTAGGCTGGGCTATTCTTAACTTTCTGCATGAATTGCAGAGCAGAGCTTTTCCTGAAAATCCTAAGTTCAGATGTTTACAATTATAGGCAATGAGGCTCAAAGAGACAGCCTCATGGATCACTTGTGTTTTATTTTTGGTTTTGTTTTCATTAGATGCAACACTGAACTGAGCCATGAGCCTTCCAGGGAGTTGCACAACTTCAGCTTTTAGAGATTGTGTTTCATAGTCACGGAAAAAAAAATAATTGGATTTAATAGGTTTTCACAATCATATTATCTACTTAACCTTCCAAGATCATTACTCATTTAATTGCAAGCCCCAAGGAAAGATCATAGGGTAAGGACTACACTAGACAGTCATAACAATAAAGGAAGCAGGTTCTTCACAAGTGATGTAAAATCTGTAGCATTTCAAATGTTATGAATGAAGCACCCAGATTTGAAATCGTTGTGTCCCTTTGATAATTGTTTACATTATAAAACGGAGACTTGAAGGTTAAAACTATATTTATTGCTATAGAAATGTATGTACATATGTATGTACATATCTCCTTACAAACAGATAAGACAGGTAAAGAATGGTAAAATGCAAACCTCAAGCTGTGAGTGACAGGCACTTGCTGTCACTCAGGCTCTGTTGCAAATACTCTCATCCCTTATGGAGGAGTAACTACAACTAGAGATTTCATTGTCATTGGAACAGCATGTCCCTCTCTCGGGGTAGTTAGTGCACAGACTGCATCACATACATGGGGGCAAGGATGCCCTGACCCTGCAGGGATTAAATTTTTCTCTTAGCTCTTAGGGTACCAGAGGAGGTGAGTCATATTGTAAGCTTTAACTCGCTGTTCTACAAATTAGAGCATCCTACAAAGCTCCAAAAGATGTTTTCCATCTTGATGGCCTCTAAAGACAAATCCTGAGTGAAAGACTTGCTCTCAGTCTGGTTTTTATTCTCTCATTTATTTCTATGGGATTAAAGCAAAGCAGAAGCCCTTAGCAAACCAGCCAACCTGTGCACAGAGCACTGAAATTGGATTCCTCATCTGGTTGAAAGCCAAGGCACTTAGATCCATGTTGCTTTTGTCAAGTTCTTCCTTCAAGCTGCAATGGCCTTGTTTGTGTTCACTCGTCAACCCAGGCCCCAATTGTCCCACATCCTCCCACAGAGCTCACATTTTACAATTGAGAAAGGCTCTGCAGGAGGAAGACTACTACTATCCACAAAGCAACCAAAACACCAAGAGGGAAGATGGAAGCATGTGGTAAATTGAGAGCAGAGCTTCCAGCTGAGCGGGAGGCTGGCCATGGAAGACAATCACAACAATCTGACAAACGCTTCATCCCTCTAGGCCTCCTACAGACCTACAAACCCAGGCTGAGAAGGACTTTCCCAATCTAGGCCTGCGCCAGGCCTTGAAAGTGAACAGTCACAGGCCCCAGGCTTCTCTCCAGTGACTTACTAGAGCAGGTTGAAGAGGAAAACACACCGCTTCTTGGTAAATGGATCAGTTTGCATGAAACAAAGGAAAAAAATTTGCTCCTGATCAGCCATTTATTTCAAGAGTGCATAAAGAAAGAAAACAGGGCTGTAATAAAATTAAAACTGTATGTTTTGTGAAATACTAAGAATCCATTTTATATTAGGTGACTCCTTAGTGAATGGCCAACACAAATCAGATTTGGTGAAATTGCTATCCTAATTGTCAAAAAGATGTGTTCAGTATAAAACCTTTGCAAACACAAATAAAATTGGTTTGGTTATTAGGTTGGTAAAACTGAAAGAGCAAAACCAGAAAATTCTGTGCATTACAAATCTGTGGCCACTCTGAAGGCACAGGAAGCTACGCTGCTCTGTTCCCATCATCATCATCTCCTCCCTACTCTCCTGCTCTCTCCCCATCTCTAGTCAATTCATGGCTCACTTCTCTGTTTCTTGCCCAACCACCCAATCTTCTCAGTAGGGCTCCCAGAGCCTCAGTCATGGCATTGGAAGCTTTCTATGTAGTATCTGGGCATTAGTGTCCCAGTAACAGAGCCACAGTAGCTGAGCTGTGACAGCTATCACCAGGATTATCTACTTCACAGATGATGCAAAGTGCTTTTGGCAGGCCAGTGCTCAGAACCCCAGAAGCTTCTAGACCCACTCTACCCTCCAGACCCCTAGCAAGAGGAACACGCTCCATCTATTCACTCCTCTCCTTCAGCATCCACATTCACCTGAAGTGCTCTCCAACCATTTACTTCCTACTCCCCTAAAAAGGCATGGAAATGAGATGTAAACTGATTTAATTGGCATTCCTTGCAAAAGCAAAAGCTATTGAGAGCCCACCTGTAATCCCCTGTGCTGGGTGCTGAGGATTAGTGATGAAAAGATGGCAGATTATGGGCAGGTGTTAACAACAGCCTGTTCTGATGCCATGGCCATGATTAAACTCTGCCTTTCATATAGGTTTTAAAACATGTAGGCATCCTGATCTCAGTTGATCGTCTCAACAATCACATTGTATAGGGACTGTTCATGTTGAAGATGAAGAAACTAAGGTTGAGGGGTAGAGTGGTTTAACCCCCAGTCATAGATCTTGCAAGTGGTAGACTCAGGAATCAAAGTGTAAGCTTTTGTGCATAAATCTACTGTATGCTGCTGGATGCACTGCCCAGCCTCCTAAGGATTAAGATGGGAAATACTTTTCTAAGAAATCCTCTAGTTGTAACACAATAACAAAAAAAGTCCTGAACACCAACTATATGCAAAACCTGCCCTGGGCTCTGGGAAGATGATATAGCAATGCAAGGGTGAATACAATATTGTCCTGACTCAAAGCGGGTCATGGATGGGGGAAAAAGTCGCCAGATAGCAACAACCAATCTGGGAAAATGAATGAGATAAGGAAGGGGAAAGGAAAGCATCAGGTGGAAGCTGGGACCCAAAGGATGCAGCCTGAGCTTCTGGATTCCATTCAGGAAGTGCTATGTTTACGTCCCACCCAATGACTCTCAGACCAAGAAGAAGGGAGGAGTCATGCAGCCTTTTCTATGGCTCTTGAGTTGCTCCTCAGATAACACAAGTATTCTGAAAGCTACGAGTAACTTTTTAAATTAGTAAGTTAAAGATTTTATTTGAACAACATGAAAAGTCTCTTGGAGTTTGATAGGCATGGAAAGTTTTCAGAGAACTGACAAAGCGTTTTAACTCATGAAGCTAAAGCCACTACAAACTCTTGTAGTTTTACATTAGTTTCCTTATCTTTCTTCTTGACATCTATGATGTAGTTTTCAAAGCTCTCTATGGAGAAAGGGACGAATAGAGAGAAAAACAGCAAGAATTGGCATTGCCATTCTGGATGGCTGAGGATGTTCCACACACTGCCAATAGCTGTTAACTAGTAATAAAAGAGGTTCTAGATGAAGTCATGGGCTCCTTAACACAATAATATCAGGATAGCTGTTGTACAAGGAAGGGTGTTGAAAATGTGTCTCCTTGATACAGGATTCCAATGTGCTATCTCTGTACCCAGCTTCCTTTGAGTTCAGGTACTACTCTGAAAACACTACTGTCCTGTTCTTTACACTGCTTGAGAAACCACAGGAAATGGAGTGCCCCATGAATCCCATTTACGGCTCAGACTCTAGCCTGACGTAGCTCCAACGCCAGATGAAGAAGAGCCTTGTCACCATGCGGTACTTTCTGACCAGGTGCCTAGAGACAGATGTTCCACTTCCTGAGGAAGAGGTGAGAATACACCCTCTGGGAAGCTTTGGACAATGAGCAGGGGG